TTGAAAATTCGCCCAACCCTTACTCAGTTTTTAAATCCAAAATGGCGGCACAAATGAGATTACCGTCAGAATTTACCAAAAAAAACTGAGATACAATGCTTCGACGAAATAGCTGGATTTTTCAAGTGGGTATTCTTGTGTAGTTCTATTTGATAAATGAATTTGCACCGTCTGCAAGCTCCGCACAATCTGCACGGCCCGCACGGTCTGCAGTTTTATCACGACCGTGCAATGATGATCATTGCTACCTTAAAATTTTTGCCAAATATATCAAATTGATAAAACCAAATAATATTGATTATTTTTTTGCATAAAAAGCATACGGATGTTTATTTATACGACAAAAGCAACAGAAGGTACAACATCCTAAGGCGACCAGTACCACAAACCCCGCCACTGGAATGGCAATGATCAGGATTTTTTCGATCCTCGATATTGTTTTATACAATGTCTTGTGAACTCTGGGAAGGGTATGACGTCATTACATTGTTTTGTGTTTGACATTATTCACAAATTTTGGAACTGGATTGGAACTGCTTTGTTTGTTTTCATAAGTTCCCTAGAAAATTATTTAGTGGCTCAGCGATAGGACTTTATCAGGTAAATATCCATTCAAAATCATGAGTTCGTCATATTTTTCCTAAAAAAGTCAAAATATTCAGACAACTTGATGATCACCAAAGAGAATAAGTATGGGGCATGAGTTGAATTGGTAAAGGTAATCACATGATTTCGAGTGCAATTTGGAATAAATAAGCGCGAGTGAATTTTTGTAAAGGCTTTTTGTAAAGACAAAATTGCACGAGCCCGTAGGGCGAGTGCAATTTGTGATCTTTGAAAAAAAGTAACAAGTGCTTATTTATTCCAGATTGCACGAGAAAAATCATGTGATTACGTGTTAGTAATATACATGGAAAAATACTAGATGGCTTATCAGAATTAAGCATAAGCAAATCGCGCGCATCAAGTGCAAAAAATAATTTATTCAAACCGTGCGTTCGGTCAAAACAACTGCGTACAATCAAAACAATAATATGCGATGATATCTCCCCATCTTGAAGGCGCAAAAAAGGTTCAGAGTCCGGCTAAACAGTTCAAGGAATTTTTCAGTCTGTGTCCGAATCACTTTCGATGAAATGGGGTCGTCGTTTCCGAGATTTAACCATGTTTGTTTTTAATTTCGGCGTTGGATCGTTCGAGCAAAGTGTTAAGCTGGGTAATCGTAATTTTCGATTTCCTTGGCAATTTCCTTCTCTAAACACCACTTTTTCCAAACCGACTACCAAAAAGCAGTGCTTTTTACAGTGTTTCGGTTGTTTGAGCTGTTTTTCAGCTGCGGTGGCGAAAGAAAACCTTCTTAACACGCCGGCCATTATTTCGCTCGCAAATTTTCAAATTTTGCTGCGACATCCAAGGCTCACATTTGATTGACTATCTGTGAGTTTCTTTGATTATTGACCAATCAGAATCTCTGATTTGTTACTTTCTTTGCACCGAATAAACCCTCTTCTGCACTGAATTACCTGAAAACTGCATTTATCTTAACTAATCAAAACTGAGTAATTTTTCCATGTATATTATTATCATCAAATACTTCAGACGAAAGTAGATCATAAAGAGAGAAATGTTATGAACATCCGGAGATCGGATTAATTATCTGAGGTAGTACTTTTAGGTGTAATCAGTGTTATCCGAACCCAAAATAGTAGACCTTTCAGTTAACGTAAGAAACTTTAGTTTTAAAAACCTTTCAAGTTTTTGATCGCGCCAACCGTGGGAAATGATTTTTTTTTTTTCGATCTAAACAAAGAAAGTCGAGAATGAACCGGAAAGAAAAACGGATGCTCCACATGATTTGCGATCCATCCTTTCATCGCAAAGTTGACAAGGTTAACAGAAATTAGCCTTACAAGGAAAATTTCCGTAAAAGTTGAACAGCACTGTTAATTGTGGTTGAAATGAATGAATTAGTACTCTCTTAGAAGTTTTCTCATGTACTCATCGACTTCCGGCCGCTGATTACAATTCATCGGCTTTGAATATTTAAAAGAAGTCTGTTAGGTCCTAACAAGAGATTACAAACAGTTCACTTCCTCTTGGTCACTATCGGTGCATTTCGGAAACAGCGTCGCCTCAATTTTTCATGTTCTAGTTATTTGGAATCCGTCGGTGTACATATCTCCTACCACCCTACTTACACAATCTAAATGGCTAACACCCACGTAATCTAAATTTAGATCATTGGGTTCAAGCCGTCCTAAATGATCATCTAAGTCTTCCCAGTAGCTCATTAGATATGCATAAACATTTCGACCAATCTGATCCTTCACTCTTCGGTGGACGAGCCAAGGTGATCGCTACGAAATGCGTCGGTTAAAGCCCGTTTTCTTAGATGTGAAGAATATTGGGCGCGATGGAAAGAAAACCACCGTATCGATTCCGCTGAGAGTGGATCTTGGGAAGCAGCCTCATAAGAGTACGGAGGAAAATAGTCAGGACACCAACAGTCCAGTAGAACAAGATGTCCCTCTTGGCGATCTCGATAAGCAGGAACTCTCTACTCAACAGCAAAATCGCGTTTTGAGTATCTCTGCTAACTGGGAAAAGGTACGGGAAAAGTTGCTGAATTCGTTCATTGAAGAACAGCATCTCCCAGACAATGTGAACTGTGTGAACTGTCAAAAGAGTATCGCTACAACAAGATGTGAGTACTGTGGCCCTCGCCAGTACTTTTGTGTTGGATGTGCACGAGCTCTACATGTCAATCGAAACAAGTTTCATGTACTTGAGAAATGGAAGGTGTGTATGAATATTTTGGGGCCATTTGTATTCTAGCTACTTTTAGTGTAACATATCTTGCTTTCTTTATTTTGATAGGATGGGGTATTTTCTCCTTTGTATGCAGACGAGGCAACTGTTAGCTATGACCATACGTGCAGAACCGCAGCAGTAAAGCTGTTCAGACTTCTGGATGCCTCAGGTCAGTTCATTTCATTTATAGTGGTTGGAGAATACTAGAATGGTTTAAAAACGAAGCGTTCTTTTTCAATTTTATCTGTTCCTTTTTCACATTTTCCTGCCGCTTGCCTAAAATCAAGAACGCTAATGATCTTAATGATAATGATACGATTTAAATTCTCTCAACATGTCAGGGCCAGTAACTAAAATCAAACAATCAGATTGCTCCATTGCCTGTCCAATATTCTCTAAGTATTGGACCGGGTAATGTCCTAAATGATCCCACGTGCAATTAAGTTTTTAATGGCTTGCCAAAGAGAAACAATAAACTTGGCTTGCATCTATCCGTAAGAATCTTTTCTGTCATGCTGGGAGAATATTGGCCCTTGGACTTTTCTGTACAGACCTCGCTGCACTTGGTTTGTACTGTCAAGACCTTGGGCCAATATTCTCTTAGTATGGCCCTTGCACTTGGTTAATAAGGTGTCTATACAGCCCTCAACAAAGTAAGAGGTATTTAAAGCTGTATGTAATTTTTTTTTTTTTCATTTTGTTTACTTAACTTCTTAAGTTGTTCATTTATTTTTCTATGAATGTCAGGAAATCATCACCTCAAATATGTACAAGTGTGTGATTGTGAGCCGCATGCTGTCACACTCTTGAAATGCCAGTTCTGGCCAGGGTCACCAGCAAATCCCACCACAGGATTCAGCTTCAAACTGATGGAGTTTGTGGAGAAGGTCTTTCTTCATTGTCAAGTGTCCCTGCTAAACATCACAGAAGTGATCACAGAACTCAATCCTCAGCTACAACCAACACATGTAGGTTTGCTCGCAAACAGTCTTTTTTGAGACATGACATGACTTTTTTAATTGATTGATTCTGGTTGAATGGTATGTTTTTTTAGGTGAGCTCAATTTACAGTATCCTTAATTCAGAATGCTTTGAAGAATTCAGGTATGTTTGCATATAGGTTGAGAATATCAGAGCTGCTAATTTGTGGATGTACAATGTCTTCTAAGGTATTATTGATATTAGAATTAATATTATTTTTACTATTATTATTGTTGTTGTTCTTGTTATATTAGTATTATTAATATTATTATTATTAGTAGTAGTAGAGGTAGTCACATGATTTACAAGTGCTTATTTATATTATTATTTTATTCATTTATTTATTATCTAGTCCCCCAGCTAATATAGATCTCAAACTCATGCTTTGCTTTTGTCGCTTTTGTGTTCATATGATTCAAAGATACATTGACTGTTTGCTTTAAGGTCAAGATTCCATTTACATTAATTTACAAAACATCTTCCTTGTTGTACATGTACATTTACTGACTTTCTTTAAGAAAGTCCTGATTGACATTTTGTTGTTTTCACATGAAGGTATTTCATGTATCAGTACAGGCATTGTACAAAGTACAATGGAAGTTTGTACAATGGAGCTTGGTGTCCTATATGTCCAAGGGTAACTATACATTGTAATTTGTTCTGAATAGTAGCTTGCACTGTAGTTCTGCAGTATTAATTTTATGTTGTTGTTGCTGTTCTTTTTTATATCTATTTTTCTCTTTTCCCCTCTCTTTTGAACAGGATGATGGTGTTCTCATTGAAAGCATGGATGGGTGCTTAATGGACTGTGCAGAAAGAAGGACAAAGGGCATAATTTAGGAACACCCAAACATGGAACACTCCTATTTGCAGACCAGGATGATGTTGACAATTTTGTCAACAGTTATGGCAAAGCTGGAGCAGACATGGAACAGGTCTGTACTTAAGATAATGCAATGCTCATACATTATGGCATAAATGTTAATTTGATAACTGTATGATTTTCCTTTTGGCCCTTTAAATTCAAGATTTTCTGTTTTTGTCCCTTTTTTTTTCACAGAACTGCAGTAAGTTCCATGCTGGAGAGGTTCTTTCAGCTTTAAGATCAAAAGGCAAAAACAAACTCTTTGACGAGAAAGGTGTCTTTGGGCGAGTATGCAGACATGACTTTCCCAAAGGATTCCATAACATAAAGCATGGTGAAAGGT